AATGATGTGCGCTTCCTTGTAGAACCTGTGACCAAAGTTCCAATTAATTAATTTAAAAATCTAGCTTCTCAAATAAAAGGAAAATTGTAGTTTAAATGGATATGAGCTATGTCCAGGGAAATAGAGGCCACACAGTATTGTAGGGAGCCCAGCCTCTGCTGTAGTGGCTTTATCATTCATCCTGTAATGAAATCTATGGTCTTTTGTTTTATTGTTGGGTTATACTTTTTTAAATTTTGTAATTCATCCTTTCAGCTAAGAATGACCTCAAAAAAGTAAGTACACAATTTTTGTATGTCAAGAAATTGAATTTATAACATGAAGAAAATGTTGTTCTTCATCACTCACCAGTTAGACCATGGCATTAATCCCTGACAATGTAAAAACTTCATGACACTAAAATACAAGAAAATACCAACATGTGCTTCCTGAGTTTTAGGATTTGATTCGGTTTTGGTGCTAGACTTGAACTCAGGACCTCATACACGTTCAGTCCATGCTGTACAACTGAGATACACATTCAGCCCCAAGTTAGTAGATATTTCAAGAAAATTCTGTCCAAAAACAACAATCTAGGCAGTGCAGCTCCGGAGAGTAGATTTATCTATAAACTTGAGGGCTGGGGATGCAGCTTGGTTGAGCACTTCCCTAGCATGCATGAGGCTGTGCTTGATCCCCAGAACCACATAAACACTCAAAAAAGACTACAGACAACGTGTATATGTACATAATATATATAATATACAGTGTATGAAGTATATGTGTATATATATATAACATTAAGCGTATATGTGTGTGTGTGTGAGTTTGTAAAGCCAACATTTTACTTGATTAAATGTCATTCTAAATACATTTCTGTTGCTTTTCTAAAAGTAAAGCAAGGTGTAGAAGTGCTGGCTGAAGCGGAGGCAGCAGAAAAACTTTACATCTTGCTCACTTCACTTTCATCAGATTCCTCAAACTAAAAGCCAGGTGAAGTTGCCGATCTAACCCACAGGTGGAACCAGAGGTCCACTTTCAGGAGCCCTCTTTCCCAGAGATACAACACACCATGTGCTGGACATGAGTGTGGTAACAGTGCAGGCACAGTGGGCACCGGGAGGTCGTGGCAGTGACCGTTCAAACTGGGATGGAAAATGGCCTTGCCCTTGTCTGCGATGTGCACACAGTGCGGATTGCGCTCACCAAGCGGCACCAGCCTGACAGTCAAAACGGAGTCTGGAGCATTCAAACTTGCAAGCATTCCTTAGATGATCACAGCTACAGAGTATGTGTGAAGAAGCTGGTGTGGAGGAAGAGAAAGCCCAGCAGTGCGTGCTTTTCCTTCCTGCTGCCCATCAGCAATTGAATAGGAGCGCTTTGGATGAAGGATGTTAAATCAACCTCTGTGTCCTACAGTGACCCTAATCTTCTTGAAATGAATTCTCTAATTCTTGGGTACATTTTGTTCAAAATCAGCTAGAAAGACTTAACCAAAATACTCGGAGGGAAGCACCTACCATGTCAATATTGGAAGCTTTTAGTTACTTGAAATTGTCAAAAACAAAGTTTGCAAACAAGAAGATATTCAGAGTTCCCTACAAAACATATTCCCTAAGAAAAATAGAAGGAAACAACCAAACAAGATACTGTGAGCTTAATTACACACAGGATTTATTTCTAAAACACTGTCATTGAATTTTGGAATGTCTTCACTTGTGGCAGGAATCTTTAGATGACAACTGTTTTAATCAGGTAAATTTTTAACTTATATTAAAATGTAGTAACATGGAAAAGGGCAAAAATTCTGTGGTCCATACATTCGGTAAAAACTTCAAAAGAATTATATAAGTAAGTGTTCTGAAATGCTCTGTCTGGTAAAACCACTGGGCATGGAAGCACATGGTGTAAGAGTGGGAAATGGCTGTGATCGGAGGAATGTTCAGATGGAAATATCTACACATTTTAATGAAAAGTTTAGAACTAGGGTGATCCTTCATTTCTCAGAATTGTATCTGAGCTTACCAGGTCCCTCAACCTCTAAGGAGTTTTCTCAATGAAAAGAACTACCATAGTAGACAGCAAGACCAGTCACATAGGGCCAGGAACTTAGCTCAGTGGTGCTGTTACCTGCCTTGCAAGCGCAAGGTCCTGAGTTCGATCCCTGGTACCGCAAAAGAAAAAAGAAAAGAAAAAGAAAAAAAAGATGAGTCACATAATCTTCGGGCCAATCCAAATTGAAAATTCCAGACCCTCTGTTCAAAACTTAGGAAGAATTCCAAGACAATGACAGCAAAACATTAAGCCCACTTGAGGCCTTCTGAGTTCAGGGCCTGAAAAGCTGCATAGGTCACATGTGAGCCAACCGATGATGATGATGATTTCAAACTTATTAACAAGAAAAGGCATTTTGCAAATGTCCCCTAGTAAGAGTCTATTAAAAGATATTATTGAGAAAAATACCAGTGACATTTGCTAGTAGCAGGTTCAGCTAAGAATGGATGAAACTGTGAGAATTGCACTACCGCCGGTCTCCCTCAGCTCAAGCCGCTGTAACAAAACACCTGGAACAACACAAATGTACCTGCTCCAGATGGGGGCGCCAGCAGGTGGGCGTCTGGCGAGGATGAGGACTCTGCTCCTGGTTTGTGGACTGCTGTCTTCTTTACATGGCAGAAATGGAGACTCTCTCTCTCTCTCTCCCTCCCTCCCTCCCTCCCTCTCTCTCTCTCTCCCTCTCCCCCTCTCCCTCTGCATCAGTCCACAGTCCCAGTCCGCCTGGATTGGGTTTAGTTTCCGACTGACCTTAATAAGAGGGCATGGTGATACTAGAAGGTGCCCTAGGGTCCTCCTGCCCACCAAATACAGTATCTCCTTCCTTTCTTCCATTGTAGAGTGCCAGTCCAATTTTCCTTGACTGTCTGGGTCAGTCACCCCGGCCAACACTCTCCCCCACTTAGCTTGTTTTCTCAGAGGCCTGAGGAGACCAAATGACCACGGAAAGTCTTGGTTCCTAGTTCAATGGTATCATTGTGCTCCCTGGTACAAGCCTTCCTGCTCTGGAACTAAGACTTCTAAGCCAGCAGAGCATAAGGTTTTGAGAACAGGAAGCAAAGATTTTGCTATGGATCACTAGTGGTAATGTGAGTGGTACCATTCCCACTTCCACCCTTAATTCCTGGACCTGTGAATCCTGGCTATGGGAGACACAGTACCATAGAGTGGATGCTGATTCAAAACACATACATAGAGCCTTTTGAACAACTTTGCCCCGGCCCTGCAAGCTACTGCCACCTGGCTGGGGCTGCAACTGTGTCTTCAAAAGACCTTTCTACCTTTCTGTCAATCCGGCCACATCTGCACGGTGAAGAACGTGGCAAGAGCAGAGAATTCCAGACGCACGAGCCTATTGCTTTACTTCTTTGGCTGTAAAATGTGTCCTTCGGTCTACCACTGAACTATGCCCCACCCTTTCATTTTTTATCTTGAGACAGTGTCTCACTAAGTCACCCAGGCGAGACTTAAATTAATGATCCTCCTGCCTCAGCCTCCTAAGTGCTGAGATTGCAGGCATATACCACCACACCAGACTCTTTGCACCTGCACCACACCCAGCTTGGCACATGTTTAATGATGTAGAGAAAGAATAGACCACCTGTCCCATCCTTCCTACACTTCCACGATATCTGGTTATATCAGAAACCCTTGTTTTCCTGTGCAGCTTTTAATTTTTAGATTTTAAAAAAACTATTAGCAGGGCACAGTTCTGGACACCGATAATCCAAGCACTCTGGGGGCTCAGGCAGGAGGGTCACAAGTTAAAGCCCAACCTAGGCAACTTAGCAATTTAGGGAGACCCTGTCTCAAGACAAAAAATAAGTAAAAGGACTAGGGGCATGGCTCAGTGCAGAAGCTCCGGGTTGAATGGTCAGAGCCACAGGGAAAAAAGTCATTTCACACAAGATGTAGAGACATTGTTCAGGTCATGGTTCCTTTTCCTGAAACCAGACGCTGAGTGACAACTCTTCCAGGGGATTTAACAGCAGCGAAGGGACAGTGAGTGAGAAAGAGCTGACGAGCCTCGAGGGCCAGCGAAGAGCGGACAGCGTTACAGAGCTGCACGAAGGCTGCCACTCTTCGCTTTCGTCACCCGGTACAGCTCCGCCCGAGAGCCCTTGTCCGGGGCAGAGCAGGGGAGGAAGCTGATGCTGGGCGGTTAGAGACTCCCTCAGGCCAGTGGCTCTGCGCCCTCCACCCCTCACGGAGCCTGAGCTCTAAGCGGCTCTCCACGAGGCCTCGTGTCCACTGAGCGGCCCACCCTGCAGCCCTTGTCCAGTCCCCTGCTCCTAAGTCTTTAAAAAATACCCAGAGTGCTATGTGAGCAGGGCGGAGGGGGCCATGGCTTGGGGCTGGCCAGGTTCACCGGGGCGGGTTGGTCCCCAGGGGCGGCGTGGGATCAGAGGCAGGTCCCGGAGGGAGGCCGCTGGGTGTGGGCGCACGGCCTTGGGAAGGCCAGAGCGGGTCCCATGAGAACGGTCCACTGCCGCTCTGCACCCTCCCTCGCGTCCCCGCCCTTGTGAGGTCACTTCCAGCAAGGGTCTCAAATGCCTGCAGAAACCTCAGCCACCTTTTTCTGTGTGTAATATTTGCCATGAAACAGAAAGTCACATGGATATAACGCGGTTGTCATAACCGCCCTTCCTGCGGATGGCTGAGCCTGTCTCTGAGCCTATGTGACATTTGCCAAGTGAGTGGGCTGTGTGTTCTTGAACAGATCTATGACCCACAAACCCCTAGGAAGCAAAGACCCAGTTGGAAAGGGGCCTGGTGTCCATGGATCGCAGTTTCTGCCCACCCTGCCACTCCACAGCTTCAGGTGGTATGCAGCGCTGGACCGAAGCCCCACCCAGGCTCCTGAGGTTTGTCCCCGCCCAGGAGGGGTGAGCCCAGTAGCCAAGGCAACCACAGCACAGACAGGGCAGTTGCAGATGGGTAAGAAACACCTGCCATCCAAACATGAGCACACAGAGCTGGGACAGGGGTCCCACGATGGGCCTTTATTTTTGGGCAGTGGCACTGCATGGATAGGGACATGTGGGTCACAGGCACGTGGTGGAGAAGAGATTGGGGAAGGGAGGAGGGGAGCTGCCAGCCGGGCACCCTCAGGGAGAGGACACGCGGCCACAGAACAGGATCGCGCTGCTCTTGCGGTGCTGGATGAAGAAGAGGAAGGGGTGGTCGGCGCAGAAGGAGGGTGTGAAGTGCATGCACCGCATCTTCATGACCACTGCGGTGGCTGCCGCTGCCTCCGTGCCCTCCTCGTTGACCTCCACGAAGGACTTGTGCACAACCTTGGACAGAAACAGGTCCCTCTTGGAGGACATTCCGGAAAAGTCTGCCCTGGCCCCCTCGAAGGTGTCGGTCATGCCCATACGGCAGAGGACATTCTTCAAGTCGTAATTTTCCTCCAGTTTAAAGCGAGGGAGGAAAACCTCCACCTCTTCTTGGTCCATCTTGTCTGGTGTTGTCCATTCTACGAATTTTTCGTAAGTAATTTCTTTTTCCACCTAGGAGAGGAGAGGTGAAGTCTGAGATCAGGATACGGGTGTCGCCCAAGGCCCTGTGGATGACAGGGATGCCCAGGCAGCCTGGCTGTGGATGGGAAGTGGCCCTAAATAAGGTAACCAGGCAGCCGGGTGTGCAGCTCAGTGGCCAGCACCTGCCCAGCATGCACGAGGCCCTGGGCTCCACCCCCTCACCACTAAAAATATTTTTTAAGAGCTAACTGGGAACTGGGGAGAGCTCTACAGGAGAAACCAGCTGCCACAACACCACTGTGGCTCAGCTCCTGGTACCGTTTTCAAATCGATGTGTTCATCCGGAAGCATGATGATCATATTGAGCTCCTTGTTGACGTAGGGAAGCGCCAGAATCTTGGTGAATATTTCTCCTATGTAGGTCATTTTAAAAGTAGACTTCTTATACATCATTTGCACAGGTTTCTCCTCATCCTGCAAAGGAAGTGGATAAACTAAACTCAAACCAGACCCAACTGACACACTGAACAAAATCAGCAAAAGAAGCCACTTAGGTCTCTAGGAACAGTTTCTTCACAGGTGTGGAGAACACTACGTGGTTTCCTCCTCAAACTCTGCTAGGGTGTCGACCTTAAATGTCCCCTAAAGGCTGGACTAAAGGGTGGCGCTACTGGGAGCTGGAGGAAGCTTTAAGGGGCGGGGCCTAGCCTGGAGGAAGCTTTAAGGGGTGGGGCCTAGCCTGAAGTCTCCAGGGCATTGGGGCCGTGTCCTCAAAGGGGACTGTGGGACCCTGGCCTCTTCCTCTTCCTCTCTCTTCCCTGCTCCACCACTTCCGCTTACCCTTGTCAGGCAGCAACCCACCAGAGGCTGACAGCAGCAGGCCTGCCTGTCAAGCAGCTTCTGAAACTGTGACCAAAATACACCTTTTCTCTTCATAAGCTGACTTTCTCAGCATTTGTTCTGGTGACAGCAAGCTAGCAGCCCTCAACGACTGAGATGCTCGGGGCTCACGCCCAGCACTTCTTTCCTCTTGGCGGCCTCCTCTCCTCTAGTCTCGTGGCCGAACACAATTCCCAGCGTTACATTTCTGGCATGGACCTCTCCCCTGCACTTGGACTCGGGTACTTTACTGCCTACCGGAATCCTGCACTTGGACATAAAAGCACAATGCCACACGAAACACAGACTCCTCATCTTCCTAGCCTTTCCAGCTCTGCTCCACCTACACCTTTGTCCATCAGAGTTAATGGTGATGTCACCCATCCAGTGGTTGACTTGTGCCTTTCTCTCACACCCTGAGGCTGACTCCGGAGCAAATCACATTGGCTCTGCCTAGGAAACGTAACTCAAATCTGCCATCAGCCTCTCCCTGGATTAGCAAGACAAAGTCCTTGTGACTCTTCTCGGCCAGAGGTCCTGGTGAAATGTCAGATCACATCGCTCTGGCCAGACACTCTGCCATGCTGCCCCACGAACAAAAGCTGAGCTTCCTTTAAAAAGCTATAATCACCACAAGGGCCATCTCCCGTCCCTCTCTGACCTCAAGACCTCCCCCCATCCCTTCACCGGTCTGTCAGTCACAAGGCCCCCTTCATGGTCTCGGGGTAAACCAGGTCCGCTCCATCTCGGCCCCATAAGCTCATCCCCAGAGCCTGAAGAGTGCACCCTGTGTGTCATTCTGGTCTTTGCCCAAATATTCCCTTGGCGGTGAAGGCGTCCTTGTTAGCTCTCACCTGTGATTACACCCCAAACACCTGACCCTGTGTGTGTGTGTGTGTGTGTGTGTGTGTGTGTGTGTGGCTCCTATTTTCTTGTTTACGCTTAGACTGACCCAGGAAAACATAAGCACATGAGGGCAGGCATGACTAGGTCAGTGCTCGGCAGCAAGCACGCACTCAATCAGCATCGGCTGAATAAATGAATAAGACATTTCTTGTTTGACGACCTACCTGTTTAACAACTGTGCAGACTTAGGACCAAGGTGTGCTGTTCAGTCTTATGACCCAACGCTCAGACTTACAACCTGGCTTTGATTTGTACAGTTCTGTATGTTCTGTTTACAGAGCCTCTGTGTCTTTTTGGGGTACAGTACCCTTATTTATAGAGCTCTGTAATTTTTGCTGATTGTACTGTACTGTACAGTACAGTAGCTTTATGTTCCGTTATACATCATAGTACTGCATGTAAGTTATGCAAACAAAAGCATAGTCATCCAGTTGGAGTTTCCTTGACCATTTCTTTGCTCTGAATATTGTACTGTACATACTACACACAATTCCTCCTTTAGGGACCAATGTGTTTAACAACCTAGTTGCAGGAACTTAACTCAGTTGTTGAACAATGAATGTCTGCACACAAACTAATGAGCAATAATAACTGAAGGACCAGGCAAAATCAACACATCTTATTAGAAGAAACTGCATGTGGCCAGGGTATGCCCAGCCAGGCAGTGAGGAAGACCAGCAGATGGTGACCACGTCCTGTCCAACAGTGCTCCTCAGTTCAGCTACTGTGAAGTTACTGACTACCATGGGACAGACACAGCCCAAGGCACTCTGTAATCCCAGCCCTCTGGCAGAGCACATCACTGTGCAGTAGCAAGCATAAACAAATGAGCAGGAGAGACTTCCGATAAAACTTCATCAGAAAAACAGCCAGGCCTGGTGCTGCCCTGCTTAGCACAGAGTGCTGCCCCCGGCTTAGGCAGAGTCTGCCCACGCTCCTCACCCCACCCCCACTGTCCGTACTGCAGCGACAGGAAAGCAGGATGGAACTCCCCACCAGCTGTGCCCAGCAGGGAGCACAGGAGCTAGCTCCAGCATGCAGCACCCACAGGGGTCCCCTGAATATGACAGCACAGCCCCCACAGGAAGGTGTCCCTCTGTCCGTCCCCTCCCTCCTGAGTGCAGAGGAAGCCTCTGAGCCACCTTTCGGGCACAGGGAAGGCCGCTGCTGAGGATGGCAGAGCAGGGGGCGGCAGCCACATCCCAGGGCATCGCTCCGTGCCACATCGGCCCAGGCTCTGGTCACGCCCAGGCCCACAGGTGTGAGCACTGAACTTCTGTCAGTTCAGCTACTTCCCCTGGGCCTTCCGATGCCTGCAGCTAAGTGAAGTCCTAACATACATCTTGTCTAAGGTTACTTTCAGGGAAAGGAGTATTTTAGAGGGGAAAATACAACATATCATTTCAGAATAGAGCTCAAAATACAATGCAGTTCTTGAGAAAGTGAAGGTTCAGATGCAAAGGCCTGGGAGATTTAACTTGTGATCAGTGCTCAGGAATACACTGCCCTGAGTCTGTGCTGTCTGCACTGGGCTAGATGTGCAAAATACTCTCCAGTGAAAGATTTCCTTTATCAAAACCAGAAGAATAAACTGGATCCAGTAAGAGAAAGATACAGGACTGTTAGCAAATAGCATACTCCATCCAGAGGTGGTGAAACTCGGAGTCTAGCCTGTTTAAATGTTTTTTTTCAATCTGTATTTGAATTATTTTTTAATCCGTATTTGTATTTTTTTTCAATCTGTATTTGTATTATTTCTACCATCAAAGTAAGAGCAAAGATCATCCCTTTGGTATTTGCTGAGCTGTATGCTGGCCTTGGAAGACAGCCATCGGCCCCTTGCATGGCTTCTCGGAGAGTGAGAAAAGCCGTGCGACGGCTGCAAGATCACCAGACAGCAGGGACGCGGCGGCCACTTGGAGGAGGGGTGGAAGCCCCAGGGGGCTCCCAAGGGCACACGACTTGAAAAAAATGGAGAAAAATGGCCAGGGACCAGGTCCACAAAACCCTCACACGCAGTGCTGGAGTATGGACTCCTCTCAGAAGTTCTGAGAAGGCAAGAAGACAGCTGGTGTGAGCCTGAGACCCGCAGCATCGGACCTGCCCTGCAGGTGGACACGCTGCTGACGGCACGGCAGGGCAGGAGGGGCCCGAGGCTGCCAGGCTGCCCGAGGAGCAGAGCGACTTAGGTGGCCTCCCGCATTTCCGCACACTGCGCACATCTGGGGCTCTCCTGTTATCACACACTGTACCTTGCTGACTTTAAATGGCTTCTCACATGTTCTCGCTTTGTCAAACTGTTTGTCCCAGTTTCCTTTGAAGTAGATGGCATTCACAAGAACCAGACTCGTGCTGGGACTCACTGTGCCTGAAGACAGAACCTCTGTAATTTTATCTGAAAGGGAGAGATAAAGAACCAGTTAGTCAAGGCTGATGCACACAGCAGGGATGACAGAGAGAGGGGTGATCTCCTGGAATGGTGAAGCCCATGGATCAAGGATTTCACTGACCGCCTTAAACATAAAGGGATGCTCATCTGTAAAACAAAGAATCGTCCCCGGCACCACAAAACCAAAACAAATTTTTAAAAACTTTAAAAGTTCTGGTAAGAGAAATACCACTATTTGAATACAACACATAAAATTAATGAGATGTTCAAATATACAGCATAAATTCATAACAGAAGAAAGAGACAGAAAGTAATGATCCATGCTTGTGCCTTAAAGAAAAGCACTTAGACTGTTAAAAAAAAAAAAAACAAAAAAAAAACACCCTAGGAAGCTGAGGCAGGAGGACTGCAAGATCAAGTCCAGCCTGGGCCACTTAGCAACTTAGCAAGACATTGTCTCAAAATGAAAAATTTTAAAATACGGCTGAGGTCAAAACTCAGTGCAAAGGCCCAGAGTTGAATTCCCAGTACCACAAAAGAAAGAGTAGTTATAAATTTAAGTTTAAAAAAAAGAATTATGAGGAAACAGATACATTTAGCCGGATTTGAACATTACACAATATTACACATACATGAAAGCATCATATGGCACACCCTCCTCATGCACAGTCTCTATGCTTTTATGTTTTAGTTTAAAAACAGCCAAGTGCAGTACACTCCTGTAACCCCACACAGCGGAAGGCTGAGCTAGGAAGATTGCAAGTTAGAAAGCCTGGGCAACTCAGCAAGAGTCTATCTCAGAAAAAGTGAAAAAGGGCTGGGGGAGGGCGAACACCCTGGGTAAAACCTGCAGTACCGCAAAAAGTTAAATTAAAAACTTTTAATGACTGGTTATAAAATGCTCTTTGCAAGTGTAAAGCACAGAATCACAGGTAAAGGAAGTCTTGGCCGAGGAACCTGCAGCAATGCATGAAAACTGAGACACATGAGCTACTGCCCTGGACCTGTAATGTGAAATTTCCTTTACACTGTTTGTGAAAAGAAAGAATAACAAAAAGAAAATCAAAGCATGGATTGTTTTGGAAGAAATGTACCAAATATTAGGAGATGCCACAGATGGGCTAAGCAGAGAAAAGCTAGCAGTGTCAAATTGTGGCAGCATTTCAGGAGCGGCTCTCCAAAGTTTGCAATTATTTAGAGAATTTTGAAGTGTCATTCTTGTTTACATTTGATGTTCTCGTGAGGGAACTGACAAGAAGCCTGATTAAAACAACAGAGCCAGGGTGTGGTTCCGTGAGAGAACACAGCTCAGCGTGCACAAGCCCCTGGCTTCCATCCTCAGCACCAAAAACAAAGGCAAACATAAGAACTATCTTGTCACCTTCTGTTTTCTTGGCCACCCAGGAGTTTATGTGTTTTCTAGACTCCTCCGTAGCATGCATAAAGTCGAGCTCCTCCATCTCTGCTTCATAGAATTTATGGCAGGAATCTTTAAAAGACTGGAAGAAGAAGAAGAACATCATTGCACACACAATTAACATCAACAGCTTCCGGGCCGGGGCTTGAGCTCTGAGGTTCTGCCGCCTGCCCTGCAAGCACAAGGACCCGAGTTCAATCCCTGGTACCAAAAGAAAACAAACAAAATCAACAGCTTTCTTCTTTTTTTGCACCAAAGCCAAAAATCAAAAGGCTTATGATTTACACATGTTATTTATGAATAATTACAAGGAATGAACCTGAAATCCAACCCCAGAGTTTTCAGGCATATTTCATCTTAGCCTGGAAATAAAGTTGGGTTTGAAGAGCAGGTGAACTTCGCAAATTGCTGCATCTTTTGGGGGAACAGTGAGGTGGAGAGGAAACTGAGGTGAGGGTATGGTGGAATGTGTCACTCTGACAGCCTCCCACACACTAAGCCTACAGGGCCACACCACCCACAGCTCCTCTCACTGCAGGAAACTGACAGCAAACATGGCACCCTGAACATGGGAAACGAGCTGCTGCACCAGCCCTGACACCACGGCTTCCTGCGACAACAATGTGATAAACCAGGACTGTCCACAACGGTGTCACATGTGGCCACAGAACACCTGAACTATGCCCAGTGCAGCCGCAGAACTAAGGACTTCCTTATGTTTTACTGGAATTGGAGTAGCTACTTGCGTCTCGTGGTTACCAGTGCTGCATGGCTCAGTTTTGAGCGGTGAGCAACTCTTAAAATGAGTTCAGGGTTTGGGGTGCAGCTCGGCAGGAGTGCTTGCCTAGCATGCGGGAGGCCCTGGGTTCTGTTCCCAAACGATCCTGATAACATATCCTACGAAATGATAATGATACTGATAGACACCTATATCCTAGTACACTAAAGCCGAAAATCTGAGCTGCAATAAGCTCAAACACAAGTTTGAGTGCTCACTGCTTATAAAACAGAAACTTAAATGAGCTGAAATAACTCATTATGGTTACAGAACATTTCCCAATAGCTTATGGCTAGATATTTAATTCCTCCTTTGAGAACTATTTTCATAATATAGGGGCTCACATTTCTCCTTCAGTATAGGCTGAGAGCAAGATGCAGCAGGGCAGTTACGAACACAAGTCCTCCGATTATCACTGTGTGACAGAATGGTGGATTCGTGTCTGCCCAGCCCCGTCAGTGAGGAGACAGCAGAGGCTGCACCTGGCCAGGTTACGCTGAGGTCCAGGCTAATCATCGGCATTATTGCTGCTTCATGGAATGTTGCTGAATGATAGCTTCCTGCAGGTGCCACAAAGGTGAATTTCACCCAGCTCCCCACAGTTCATGCTTAGTCTCGAGGCTCTGCTCCTGAAAAGAACTTCAAATCTCTCAATCTAAGAGAACAGTCTGGAAGCAAACTGGTCACTCAATATTGATACCTTGCCATACCCTTAGGTGATTTTTACAACTTTTAAATTCACTGGAAAATAATCATCTGCCATTTAAATTTCTGTTTTATAAGCGATGACTACACAAATATCTAATTATAACCCATGGTTGGTGTTTGTATTCTTTTTTGGCAACACTAAATTTATGAGATATAAATGACAAATATTTCTAATCTCTTTAATTTTATAACCCAGTATCAAAATAACATTTTAAATATCAAGCCTTTTCTTAAAGTATCTGCCAAAAAGGAAAGAAGGATGAAACAGCATTTTGGAAGCAATTGAGCAATATAGTTAAAATCTCAAAGCTTCATTTTCTTCCTCCCTTCTAAAAATCCATCTTGGAGGAACACATACATATATACAAAATCTCACTCAAAAACACCTCCTGTCTGTAACAGCCCACAGATTGTATGCCCTGGAGGCCCTCCATGACCAAATGGTTGCTATGTTATAAGGCATCCCTACTTAGGCCTATCAGATGGTTAATAATAGTGAAGCAGGGCTGGGGGATAGCTCCATGGTACTGCACATGCTTAGCACACATGAGGCCCTGGGTTCCATAATAATAATAATGACAGTGAGGCACGAGATATGGTCTAAAAATATAGTGAATGTTTAAATGTTTTTTAAAAAAATATTTGAGCAAATGACACATTGCCATTAACCCCCTCAGAATACTCCCCTCACTTCAAACACACTTATCCCATCATTCTTGCCACTCTCTGAAGCAGTTCTGGAAGTCCTCTTTCGTAGGTGTCTTTCATTTCAATATCATGGCTGCCTCCACATCCTGAATCAGCTCAAAATGTTTACCTTTCAAGGTTCTTTTGACTTTAGGGAAGAGCCAGAAGTCACGCAGTGCAAGATCTGGCAAATGAGGTGGATGAGGACACACGGCAATGTTTTACAAGTCCACCTTTCCACTGGATGGTGCTCTGTAGCAGTGCTCCCCATGTATTTTAATCACACCTTGTAAAGACACTCAGGAAGCAGGAATTCCAGAGCTGCTTCAGAAAGTGGCCAGAAAGATAAAACAGGCATGTTCAAAGTGAGGGGGGAGATCTTGATGGGGACTCGTGGCCAATGTGTCTTTTACTGGAATAATTTTTTAATGGAAACGTTCGCTGTATATTCTGATCACACCACATAGATGAAAAATCACCAAAACAAAATTTCCATATGTCCAGGAAAATACACATCAAATCTATCAAAGTCCTTATCCTGGGAAGGATGGAGGCTGCAGAAAGAGGCTAAGGAGGGCTCTTGTTTTGCTGGCCTCATTTACTTTCTGGACAAGAAGACACTCACATAGGATGAGAAGTTTTCTTTAATTTAAAAACAAAACATGAAAGCACATAAACAAATACAAGAAGTGCACCGTGAGGACACCTGGGTGAGTTCACAGCCCACGTGCTTCCTGCTGTATCACATGACCCCCTCCTCCATGCCGCCATGTTTGTGAAAAACTACAAGTGTTACTCACGGAGAGGAACTCATAAGACTTTTCCCCAAAGAGCCTGTTGGCCGTTCTCAGCAAGTACTTTGCGCCAGTCCTGTTCACTTCGTCAAGAAGTAACTGGAAGCTCTGGTGAACATCACTTCCATCGCCATCGCATTTATTGAAAGAGAGTACCTGAAATTAGAAACAGAATACAGTGTCAGCAGGACCTGACCCCAGGAAATGGACATGCCCGGCCTGCAGATCGTCCCTATTTGTTATAGGTTGGATTCAAAATGTGCCCAAAAGTCTCGTGTGGACAGCAGGTGAGTGAATGAGGTTGCTCCACTCATCACTGATGGGATCCACCCATGGATGAGTTCATAGCTAAATGTGCTGTTAGGAGGTGGGGCCTGGGTGGAGGTGGTCACTGGGGTGAATCTGGAAGGGTCCATTCACGTTCCCAGCTCCTCTCTCCCTCCTTGCTGCCAGGGTTAAGCACTTTTCCTGTACTACGCCCTCTCCCATCCTGCCTCTGCCTTGGAGCCAGACAACCATGGACTGAGACCATGAGCCAAAATAAACCTGTCCTCCTTTAAATTGTGGGTGTCAGGTACTGTGTCCCAGCAATGAAGATGTGAGTAAGACACTACTGTGTGCTTCAGAGAACCATCTAGTTAAAGACAAAAAGTGTCCCTCTCTGCAGCCCTCCACACCAGGCTCTTCCCGCTCACTACCCACAAACATGGCTGCCAACCTGACCTCCCAGCTCCCAAACACTGGAAGATGAAGACCCTTGCTACCCTGGGGTTGGGACTGGTTGTGTCACTTGCTCTGACCAACAGAATTCAGCTGAAGTGACACTGTTCCAAGTTTGTGACCTAGAAGACCTGGCACCTGCCATATTCACTGTCTTGCATTAGCTGCCATGATGGTAGGAAGTCCTACTAACACTGCAGGAGGCCACATGGAGAGCGCAGGAGGGAGAGGTGCCGCTGCACAGGGAGAGGTGCTTGGAAGGACCCAAGGCTCCACCCACAGCCATCACCAAGGCTCTGGATGTAAGAGAGGCCTCCTTAGGCCTTCCAGCCCCACGGCCCTCTGAAACAGCTGCAAGACTGACCCCAGCTGGCACCATGGAGGAGGAGGAGAATTGTCTATCAGGCCATAGCATGAGGAAAATCATCCATCATTGTTATTTCCAGCCACCAAGTTTCAGGATAGTTTTCCCGCATCAAGAGCTGACACATGCAGCAATGCAGAAGTGTTCCACCATAGCAACAATCTAAACATGGAGCCAGGCATGGTGGTGCACACCTGTAATCCCAGCACTTTGGGAGGCTGAGGCAGGAGGATTGAAAGTTGGAGCCCAGCGTAGGCCTCTTAGAGGCTTAGTGAGACCCTGTCTCAAAATAAAAAATAAAAAAGGGCCAGGGATGTAGCTCAGAGCAAAGGCCCTGGTTTGATACCCCAGAACACACAAAAAAATTTTTCTATAAACACGGGTCCCTCGGCAGCTGGCAGAAAAAAAAGACAGCAGAAAATTACTAAAGGAGGCTAGAGAAAGGGCCTGTGGTGTGCTGTGTGCTGGCAGAAGTGGGGACGGTCACTTGGGATGATGGAGAAGACAGGACATTTTCCCATCAACTCTCACATCCGGCTAAGGGGTCAGGGAAGAATGAGGCTGCTTCTAGCTGCCTAGGACAGAGTATGGGAAGAGAGAGAGAAGCTAAAGGAGAAACTGTGCCATTGTGAAGCAGAATTTAAAGCAATTATTCCCATCCCAGCTCCTGTTAGGCAGAAAATAAAAATATTTCTTTATTCTCAGCCTCTTCAGCCAGCAAATAATTTAAAAAGTAAGAAATGGCTTCAAAGTAAATGTCAAATCTTTGACCTTAGAAATGAGAGGCAGATCCACTTTGTTAAAACCTAAGGAAGATGAAGGTAGCACCTTCCAGACCCTCGAGACAAAGGGGCTTCTAAGCATCCTAAGGACATTGTCCCCAGCACCCTGACTTCCAACCGCACAGGCAGCCCTGCCTCCAGCAAGTCTGTGCATGTGGCTTCTGCCCAGTGTAGCAGACTGCAAGTTGACTAGAGAAAGCCCATGGCGGTTTTAAAGGGATCATGAGGGCTTAGAAGTAAGAAGGAGAGACAGTTCAAAGAGGGGAAGGTCTCCAGGCTCCCAACTCTCTCAGGGCAGGAGGCAGGCTGAGAGGACAACAAACACGGCCATTTCTTACAGAAAAGGAGGGGAATTGCTGAGAATACAGAGGGGTGCGGGATAGGAAAGACGCCCAGAAAACACAAGCAGAAGCCAATCAAGCAACATCCCTGCTCTCAGAGCACAGGACAGGAGCATGAGCGCCTGGCTGGGTTCTGGAATTGCTACAGTTCAGTGGCTGCAATGTGCCTCTCTTACCTCCTGCCATAGGCTGACTGTCCCCTCAAAATCCCTGTGTTGGAGTCCTAACAGTACCCCGGAATATAACCATACTTGGAGATAGGGCTTTTAACGGGACAATTAAGTTAAAACGAGGGCACTGGGGTGGGCACTAATCTGATCTGACTGGGTGTTCTCATAAGAAGAGATCAGGACACCGACAAACACAAGGGGGAGACCATGTGGGGACATGGGAAAGGTGCCATCTACAAGCCAAGGACAGAGGCCTCAGGAAAACCAGATCTGCCTACACCCTGATTTTGGACTTCCAGTCTCCAGAATGGTGAGAAAATACTGTGTAAGCCAGCCAGGCAGCCTGTGATGTTTGTTACCCAGCCCTCGAAGGCTGACACGTCTCCCCCACCACTGTTGAAGGCAGTGTCCACAATCACCCTTTCTTATCTCACCCTCGTGCATTGGGGTAGATGCATCTCCATAGTTCACAAATCTCTGCACTCTAAGAACTGCATCAAGGAGCTGCATCTCCAGAGCATCAATTGGTCCTGTCCTAGAACTCCCAACGAGCCTGACCGCAGCATAGGATAAGACTTGAGGGTCTTGGAAGGCCAGGGACTCAATATACCTTACCTGTGGGAGGGCTGGGAGCCATGAGGAGCCAGAGGGTAGACAATGAGGGTCACAGGTGGCCTGGATGAGCCAAGCTTTTGGTGGTCCTGCCCCAAAGCAGTTAGCAGAACCCAAATAACAGCCTAGGATCAACCTGAAACATCACTTTCCATCGTGAATGAGCTGAGCTACGTGTTGATGAAATCCTTCACTCCTCTAAACCAGACACCCGCCTGTCACTTCCAACAGACCAGAACACTTGCTCACCAGGGGTGGCGTGCCCTTCTACTCTCCATCCCCATCTCTATGAGGCCCATACAGTTATCATCTCGAGCAATCCCTCTGAAATCCGAAACTCGAGGAACCAGCCCAGAGCACGGTTACTGACACTTGGAAGCAGCACTAGGTACCTGAGCCATGTGCTTGGCTGTGGATCCCTTTGCTCCCAAGAAAACCATGGCCAGAGCGGAGGAGATGCTCAGAGGTGAAAAAAACACATTTTTTGAGCTGTCTTCACCCAGCATTTTCAAAAGGCTTATGCCAAAGGTGCCATTTGCTTCCATCAGAGAATCCATGGTGGCGAGTCTGGGACAATGAATTTAAAATCAGGATCACATAATTCAGCCTCAAACAGTGCCTTCATTTTCATTTCTTTGATACTCACCAGCCATGCTCTGCGTCAGTGAGCAAGCAGAGACATACACAAACTCAGTGTTTCTTTTGGGGCCCCCCAAATTATTTTGTATCTAATATTCAATGAAAAATATCCCAGGACTAGACTTCACAATACTTGATAAGGAGTCGGGTTGTGCCATCGTCTTTTGAAAAATACCAGATATAGTTATTATCTCATATCAAAGGGTTTTACCAAAAAAGGGGGTTGGTTAATTATATATTCACATATTTTCTTCTTTTTAAAAAGGTCAGAGTCTCAAATGTGCTCACCTTTCCTGTAATAAATGGCAGTTAGTAGCAGAACCCCTAGCAAAGAACACCTAGATTTTTTTAAAACTGTAGGTGATTTCCCTTGTAGGAAAAGGTGGGTTTATTCATGAATGAAGAAACAAACCAATCCTGCTTCCTGAAGACCCATATCTGCAACACTTCCAATGAGCAGCACATCACTGTAGTCCGTTCCGGTGGCTGGCATGAAAGAAGGGCTTGTTGGCCTTTGGTTGCATGTCTGCATTCATTGGTTGTGCTGTTATGGCTTACTGGGTGGTTTGATAATTTGAAAAGCATTCAAAATAACAAATTCACTCACAGTGACACAAGGCAGACAAGTATTTTTATAATGGGAGAGAGGACTCTAGCTGACCCCACTGCCCAGTTTACTGGCAGGTTGTGGCAAAGACATTAAGTCCTGGTCTGTGAAGTTGCAGGACCCTGACTGAGATAAACATGATGGCTGGGGGCAGGGTGGCTTCAACTAAATTCCTTTCCCAGAATTATGGCCTTTCCAACTGACCTGATGGGTTATTGGGTAATTACGACCCAGTCCTGGTCTCCCCTTGTTCCTCCTGCAGGAATGCACTGCCTCCCCTTTTACGAGGCTTGCCTGCAGTACCACTGTCACCAGATGTCTCACCCACACCCTGCCCCATTTCTTCCCATGCTTATAATCAATAAACACTGGAGGTCTTGGGTGCCCTCCGTCTTTGCTGCCCAGATCAGCACAGATGATCTCGGATCCTCCCTTTCTGTTTAAATTCTGTTTCTGTGTCTTTCTTTCACCTGTGTCATATTGCCTTTCAGATCGGGCTCAAGGCCAGGAACCCAATAGGACTCCATTTTAGAGAAACCTGAAGTCTCAAAATGTCCTAAGTCAAACTCATAAAAACCACCATGTGACCCCCCCCCCCCCAGTTCTCCTGGGAAACCAACTCACATGGTGAAGCCCACACCTAAGGCCATGCTTCATTTAAGGGGACCCACCTTGCTCCCCCTTGTTCTACACTACAAGGGCACTTGGCTATATGCTCTTAGATTTATTTTATTTGTACCAGGAATCGAACTCAGAAACTTGCACTTGCAAGGCAGGCAGCAGAACCACTGAGCTAAATCTGTGGCCCAGCTCTATGTTCTTAACACAGGTCAGCAATCAGGGGTCTGTGCAGGCCCGTCACGATGGCATTTGGCTCTGCCCTGGCAGCCTGGCAGGGTCAAGAGCAGGAACACGACTGGAATTGGAGAGGCAGATGGAAGTGGTGTGGGGTGGAGGTGTCTTCAGGCCAGCTGGAATCACAGAACCACAAAGCATCACGAGGAGGCCAAGGGCCCTAGAGACACCCATCAGCAACCCCCTGAAGTTCACAGAAGTGGTGGAGCCAAGCCAGGAGCAGAAGGGCCAACTCAGGGCCAATCTCTGTCCTTCAGACACTGTTGGGGAAGCCAATAACTTCCAGAAAAGCCTGAAGGAACCAAGTGAGAGGACAAGACACAGGTAAGGGCCTCATCAGCCAGGAAGCCTGCAAGGACCAGATGACAAGGGAGCAGGCCGATCTAATCTGACACTGCTCACAAATATTTACTAACTTCACACGGCCGCAAATGTGAGCACTCTGAGGAATTCCCAGTGATGCCCAAGCCGTGCGTGGAAATCCAGAAAAGAAGGAAAGGAGACTGCAAGTGTGGACACCTCAGGGCACCAGTCAAGGGAAGGGGCACCTAGCAAAGGACTTGGGAGGAGAATGACAGGTTAGCCCTTTTTTCCCCGAGCATGCCTGGACATCTGTGGCTGTGGCCAGCTGAGGTCCAGGTCCTAATCCCTAGATCCTGTGGAAGTTCCCTCAAGTGGCAGAAGAGACTCTGCAGCTGTGCTTAAGGACCTTGAGGTGGGAAGATTGTCCTGGGTTATTCAAGGAGCCCCTACATGCAATCATATGTAGCCTTGTAAGAGGAGGCATCAAACTAAATAAAAAGAAAAAGGAAAGGAAAGGAAAAGAAACTCAGAGAGATGGGATCTCTAGAAAAAAATATTCTAGCTGGGAAGCAAATTGATGCAACCCAGGGTGTGCACACTATGGAAAATAAAGACGTGGAGAAAAGGTGACCAAAAGGGAACTTCTAAAGACACAGATGCAAATCTTTGCAAATTTCACTTTATAACCCTGCTTACTGTCATGGTTCAGAGACTCCTCTCTACCCCAGCCCAGCACACCCACACCTGGGGACTTACAACAGATCAGCCCTGCTACCAATGCAGTGGCTGCTCCCTGCTCTTCCCAAGCCGCATCCTCGGCGACCATCTCCGCTTCTGCTCTCTCGGGCCTCCTCTTGGCCAGGAGCCTCAGCCTCTTGTGAGCTCCCCTCCCCTTGACCTACAAAAGACCCCTCAGCCTGTACGAGGGCAGCAGCTGCCGGGTCTCCAGTGCCAGCGCGGGCCCGGTCAGGTCTGCTCTGCAATAAACCTGTCCTGTGGCGCTCGGACCTCTGCCTCTTCTTTGCCTTCCTCCTAAGTTTCCTGAATTCCTCTCCAGTGACCATGCCCTCTCTGCAAAAGCCAGGGAGCAGGCCTGCCTGGTCGTGGTCACTGCCCCATCACAGCTGCTCTTTTTATAGCTAAACACACCCAGGATGGGACCTCTGGGTTTCAACCTGACCCTCTCTGGAATTGACGAGGCTTCGGGTAGGTACTGAATTTCAATTTCCAATAGCCTGGTGGCTTTCCTCAAAATGAAGTATTATTTGGGTTTTCCTCTGTCTGAACTGCAAAACCCAGATTCTACAGCATTGGCTCAAAGTCTTCGGGTTTCACGTTGTGGGGCTTTCGGCTGGGTTGGAGAACTGCTGGGCTTCTTCCCTCAGGAACAACCAAACTGTTTACAAAGAACCTCAGTGGGATGCAAACGTCACTGAGTTCTTTCGTGCCTTCCTAAAGTTCATCTTGTCTGAGCTTCTTAGTGGAGTCGGGGCTTTTAATTAACAATGTAGTTCAATTAACTGATCTTCGTGGTGCTCATATTGATTGTCCTGAACTGCCTAGTGGGACTGTCTTTAAAACTGGTTATTTTATCCTGAGCTGTTAGTCTCAAACATCCTAGCTTTATGGCAATAAGAGGGCCCTACAGCCCATGCTGAATTTTTCTAGTCCAGCGATGTGGTATCAGCCCCTCCCTCTCCTGGTTTCCTTCACTGGTGCTATAAACAATCTGAACACACTGGTATTGGGTGAAATGACAGCGCTGCTGTCATGCACATTGTGACGAGCAGGGGTGGACGTTTCAAGCCCTTCTTGTCTTGTGCTGCACATTAGACCGCTGTTGAAAGTTCTGATACACCTGACTCCTCTACAACATGATCCCTTAGAGGCCCTCACTGGGCTCAATTGTGTGCTCTTCTCTTTCATTATACATATGTCTGGAGCCAACCAGTGTTTGCCGCCACGTTGCTGACACCACTCTGGTTTGGACCAGTCACTCTTCAGGGTGCTGCACAGCATCTCCATCAGCGTAGCCCTTTTCAAATAACATCCTTGTTTTGATCCCCAGTGTCTTCCCCCTCTATGGCTCGCTCCCTTCTTCTGATGGAACAAAATGTCCAAAAGCTTTCTAAGATGGAATACAGATACTGTGATTTCTTGCACACCTGAAATGCCTTGATTCTAGCATCCCATGTCTTTGAGAGTCTGGCAGCATCTATACTGGGCTATACGCGATGTTACTTCCAAATTCTTGAGCCACCGCTTCATTTCTTCCCAGGCTCCAGCACTGCTGTTGAGAAGTCTGCTGACATTCTGACCCAGCTCCATCTCCTGCCCCACCCAACTCTTTGGAAGCTGATAGAATTGTGTCACCACCCCTGATGCCAGGAAATGTCCAACAACCTGTCCTTCTGGGGGCCTGGTCATTCGTTTTTCTGAGCTCTCGGATGGCCCTTTCCATCTACCAATTCGAGAACATTTCCTTTCCACTCTGCAAAAAAACTTAAGATATTTGCTCATTTCTTGCAGATTCTCTCTGTTCTCTTTTTCAGGTACTAAAATGCTTGGGCTGACCTCATGTAGGGCTTCCCAAGCATCATCGCACACAGGAGGACATCTGTATGGCACGTGGGGTGAGGCTACTCACCGAGGGCTCCAGCCCCTGGGCATCTCCTCCAGCTGCCCGATGGGAAGGACCGAGACCTGGGCACATCCATTACCTGACTCCCCGCATGCCCTGGCACACAGTCAAATCTCTACTCACACCTACTTCCCCTTTGCCCTTTCCATCACAGTGAAGGTTTGTTTGTCCCATTTTCTGAAAGACATTCATGATTTTATCTTCCCATCTTTCTATTAATTTTTCATTAATTTCAGCTGTTACATTTGTTGACTGCAGAGGACTCTTTCCTGTTCTCTGATGTCCTTTCTTTTCAGTCTTTGGTTCTAATTCTCTGAGAACACCAATCATGACTCACTGTGTTCTCTTCCGTGCCCTGAGCTGTCTTTCTCCGGGGCCCTTCTGTTTTCCAGGATGCTGCTGGCTCTGTTTTAGGTAGTTCTCCGTCTGCCACACCGAGGCAGCCAGCCTGCCATGTCAGTCCATACTTAGAGGGAAACACGAAGTGTGCTAGAGTTCTGTTCCTGTGTCTGCAATGTGTGAGCTGGGGACTTCCCTGAAAACAGTCACCACACAGACAAAAAAAACCCTGTCTCTCACCTGGGACTCAGCAGCAGCGTGACTTGTGTTTTCTTCTGAGGCAGTCGGGGAATTAAAAGTAGTTTTTGCTTTTTTAAAAAAATGACTCTAAGGGCTAGGGATTTAGCTCAGTGGTTTCTTCACCTGCTGTGCAAGCGCAAGGACCTGAATTCGATCCCCGGTACCAAAAAAATTTTTAAAAAATGACTCTACCCTTGGGCCATAGATAAGTAACATTAAGGAACAGAAAACAGAACAAAACTTGACCTTCATTCTATAAAACTCTTGGGTGAATGCCTTCTCAGCCTGCATAGAGGCACATTAGTCATTTAGGGGATATTTGTCTAAAATGTGGCAAAACAAGGTTTATTATCTAAGTTACCTGGCCTATCTTATTATCCCTCAAGACGAAGGACACCAGAGTAAAAGTACAGGGTCACTCAGCTGTGACCTACGGTCACTTTGGTTCCCACGGAGCCCCTCCTTGTTGAAGCTGTCCCTCAAGTCATGAGGGTTCTTCCTGTGGACATTAAATTGCCCTTTAAGTCTCAAGGACTCAACCTGACCTATGAGACCAGGAGACCCTGGCCCACCTCAGCCAATCCTTAGAACCTGGCCACCTGCTTTCGAGGGTGGGCCAGCCCGATCCTCCTCATCAGGGTCTGCCCCCTTTCCTCCCTCTCTTCTCTCTGACTTTCCAGTCGCAGCTTCTGCCTGTGAATTCATGCTGCCACCTTACTTTCATTTCCGTTATCAGTGAAGCAGGACCCAAGCTACCAGGGACAACTGCACTGTGACCCAGGGGATGCAGCTTTTTTACTGAAGCTCTGGGGCCTGGGAGCTACTTCCCCTTGATCTGTAATCCACTCGTTTCAGCCCAGGGCCTCCAGTGTGCAAATTTACTTACTTATGGTACCGGGGATTACACCCAGGGCCTTCACACTGAACTACATCCCCAGACCTTTTTTATTTTCATTTTGAGACAGGGTCTCACTACGTTGCTAAATCACCCAGGCTGGGCTGGAGACTGCACTTACCTCAGGCTCACAGCCTGCTGGGATTACAGGCGCGCACCACCACACCAGCACACCAGCTCGCAAACTAGTGTTGCGAGAAGAATTACACAAAACTTGAGTATTTTCCAACCTTATTTCTTCAGTTATTACCTAGTCCCTCTTTCAGTCGTGAAATACATGCCCAAGAAGTAAGTACCAGGTATTCAAATCCTTCTTCTCTTTGTCCTGAATTGTAAATTTGAAAATAAGTCACCACTATTACATGATCCTAGAACACTGTTCAGGTTCACTATGAAATGATATGTAAATCCTTAACAATCAAGTATAAAAAGATCCAATCCTAAAATACCAAGGAAAATTATACACAGTCTTTCTCTTAGCCTTGCAATGGGTGTGCCTATAACGAGGATGCTATTTCCAGCTTGTATTACAAACTCAATGCTAGCAGGGATTTCCAAGCACCTACTTCTTTAGCTGCAATAAAGAAGATGGGAAGGGTACTTAATACACAGAGAGAGAGAGAGAGATAATTCATCATAGAATTCATTATGGAATTATAAAATTACTCACTGCTTTCAAAACAGTATTTTTTAGGACCGGTGATATAGCCTAGTACTACCACCTCCTGCCTCACAAGCACAAGGTCCCAAGTTTCATCCCCAGTACTGAGAAAAACAAAACAAAACAATTTTTAATCATGAACATAAAAACTGGACAGGAAAGTCTTATTAATGAACAATGTTACATTTTTTAAACAAGTCTAGCAAATCTACGCTAGGTTCATTTTTCCCCTATAGCATCACCAGTAACCTTTGGCAGCTAATGTTTATAATGGATTTTTTTTTTTTTGGTACCAGGGATCGAACTCTGGTCCTTGCACTTGCGCAGCAGGTGGTGAAACCACTGAGCTAAATCCCCAGCCCCATAATTGATTTTAGTTAATTGATCAAGTCATAATTTTTAAGGTGTCACTATTTAACATGCTTCTTTGATTAAGCATGCCTTCATTTCCAAAATTGAACCTTTTAAAGGTTGGCTTAATGGAAACTTAGATTCCCTACCTGTTTGCCTGCATGCTTCTGTGAGTGTGTGTGTGTGTGTGTGTGTGTGTGTGTGTGTGTGTGACCTCTCTGAGCACCAGCTGTCTAACATGCAAACAGGGAAATCACCATTATTTTCTTCTTCTAATGGCTCCTTGGCCTAATCCCAAGTCCAGCAGGCTTGGAAATGTAATCACTTCATATTTCATGGATCCTACAACACTCACTTGGGTTCTCTTACTTTCAGACATAAGGAAAAATATGCTGACTCTGTCCTGATTTCATTCTACTGTTGCTGGCCTGAACTAACTGTCATTCACTGAAACTAATAAAACACCTTGGAATGGAATGGCCATATATAATTGTATATAATTTTAAATATAGTCATTCCTGGGTACTGAAGGGCATTGCTTCTAGGACCTCCGAAGATTCCAAAATCGCCAGCTGCTCAATTCCTTTACATGAAACCATGTGGAATTTGACATAACCTTGGTACATCCTCCTAGATCACTTGCAATACCTAATGCAATGCAAAGGCTATAGAAGTTGTTATACCATGTCGTTTAGGGACTAATGACAAGAAAAGAAAGTCTGCATATGCTCAGAACAGACGCAATTTTCCCTAATTTTTTGCATCCACTGTTGACTACATCTGTGGATAAACTTCGGAATAATCAGTACTTGATTTATGGATCCGAGTATGATCCAAACTGCACCCTTTCTCCGCTGGGCGTCAGGACACAGGAGATGTAATTCAAGTTAGAGTTAGGGCTGGGGTTGGGGTGATCAACCACAGGGGTAGTGAAGAACACACCCCTGGAACACGCCCCTTCCCAATACTCTTTGGGTTAATCACAGAGCACATCCTCACGCCCAGCCCACAGGCCCCGGATCCAAAGGTTACTCAACAATCTCGGCTCCATCACGCCCCCTAACCCGCACATGCTACCCTGTTCTGGCAGGGCACTGTGGCTTCCATCCAAGCAAGAAAGCGCCAGACCCCACCCAGCTTGGCTCTCGCCTCTGAGCATTCCTGACACCATGAGAACATTAATCTTGCACGTTTCCGTTTGCCAAAACTGAGCTTTAGAGGAAAAGGGGAAAAGAAAGTTGCTAAATGCCGATTTCATTCGGCACCATATCCCAGACCACTAAAACAAGCCGTGGGCCTTAAAAACATCAAACCTGGTAACACTTTGCCAGCAGTGCGTTTAAAAACACCAGAGCTGTGGCCAGATCCCGGGGGCCCTCGAGTCTCCGCGGGGGCCCGGGATGGCTGCGGCTGGGTGCGTGGGCTGGGTCCCGCCCGGGTCCTGCGCAAACCCCGGCGCGCTCCCGGGAAAGACGGGGGGGCGGGGGGGACGGGACCCGGGGGGACGGGACCCGGCCCAGCCCTAGCACCCAGCCTCGGGCTCGCCCCGCGGGTTCCCAACGCCCGGCTCCTGTTCCGGGCAGGGGCGGGAGCGGCCACCAGGGCCAGGCGCGACCCAGTCGCCCATGGGCCACCTGCGGCGGGGTCGGGCGGGGTGACCCGTCACCTGAGGCCCGGGACCCTGCCGCAGGAGCCCCGCTGACTCCCCGCCGTGCCGTCCCTCGCCTCCCGCCTCCTCTGGCTGCCCGAGACCTGCGCCTCCCCGCGCACCGCCACCGTGGGGCCGCCGCCGCGCCACGCGCCCCAACCGCCCGCGCCCGGCTGTGCCCGGCCGTACCAGACTCTCTCGGATCGCAGCCTCGAGCGAGCTGGCAGGGCAGGTGGCGCCGGGCTGCTCCGGGCCTCAAATACCTGTGGGGCGGAGTCCGGGGGCCAGGTGCCCGCGCGGCCACGCCCTCGTCCAGTCCCGCTGGGCCCACACCCCTCCACCCCGGAAAGCTAGGAGGAGGCTCCGAGCCAGGCCCCTGGAGGCCCAGCGCTTCCCAGCTTCCAGCAGGCGGCGGGGTGGGGCCGGCGCAGCTGTTTACCAAGCCTGGAGAAGTCAGCCTGGAGCCGGCCTTGGAAACCAGAATCCAGCCCTTACGTTTAGTGCACATTATTGAGCCAGTGCAGCACTGAAACTTAAAATAAAATTCACATGAGAACTGCTTGGCCTGTTGGTACAGCTCAGCGGTAAAGTGCTTGCCTGGCATGCATGAGCCCCTGTGTTTGTACCTAGCACTTGCCTCAGAATAATAATTTTTAAAAGCAAAGTTCAGATGATTATTTCCTGTATTCAGAGACTCCAGTACTTACACCTGTAAGAATTAGACCCCAAGGCCCCGGACGAATTATACAAAGAGGAATGAAACCCCTGTTTACTGTACGCTGCAGTCTTGAAGAAAGTTAGCCAGGTTGAAAGGTGAATTACCTTTGGAAACCTCACACCGTCCTCTGCCACCTCCCCCGTTCCCCAAATCCGGGTTTCCACAGTGCTGAAGTCTGAGAGGAGGGCTCCTGATTGTGGGGGGCTGTTCTGGCACTGATTCCAAAGCACCATGTCTGAAGCATCCACAACGCAGCCCACGAGATGTCGCTGGCAGACGAGGCCCGCCCCACCCCAGTTGTGACTTAATCTTCTTTTTGGAGTAGTGAAAAATGAAAGAATGCTCAGAGATTTCTCACTTCCACTTATCCTCCTCAACCCCCTTCACCCCAATCTTACTAGCTCAGGTTTACCCTTCCACTTATCTTTTGCAAAAATAAGCAATGTGTGTGCATGTAGTGTGCGTGTATATGTACACAGATATGCTAACTCCAATTCCCTCTTGCTTACCAAAGTGTAGCGTTCTATGATCAATTGACAGTTCTGCAACTTGCTTTTTCACTTAATATGTTTTGGAAATCTGATTAGTGCATGGAGATCCGTCTTCTTTTTCCCTACTGCACGGTATTCCTTCTGTGCTATTTGAATTGTTTTCGATCTTATATCATTACAATAATGCTGCCAGAGGGCCGGGGATGTAGCTCAGTGGCACCACGCCTGCCTGTCAACTGCAAGGACCTGAGTTCGATTCCTAGAACCAGAAAAAAAATAATAATGCTGCCAGAAGTAACCTACTGCAGCACATCTCAAACTTTAATGCACAAATAAGTCCTCTGGAGGTGTTGTTAAAATCCAGGTTCCAATTCTTTAGAAATGCTTGATCCTGGGCATTCTAACAGGCTCCCCTGTGATTAATCTTCCAGCAGGTGGACCACACTTTGAATAGTGAGCACTTAGTGTGGATTCTGTTTTGTATAAATGGAGAAGTAGCCACTAAGTCAGAGTCCTGGATTCCTAAAAAGAGGGTTCCAGGTCAAAAGAGAAATACACATACATCTCTGCGAGTCGTTATCAACTTAACTTCCATAAAAACTGGCATCATTTTGTCCTTGACAGTCCTTGACAAAAATTCTGTGCTTGATGGAACTTTAGTCGGGTTTCTGGCTCTTCGTCTAAGATCATTCATGTACTTCCTGGTAAAATCTCGTTTTAACGGGCCGCCTGCTGAGTCAGTGAGGCCAGAAATCCCCGTCCCTGACATCTGATCAGCTTTAATACGAAATCAGGGTCCTCATGCCCTCCCTTCCCCAGGGAACAGGCAGGTGGGGGCGATCACCCCAGAAGTCTCCAGCAAGAATCCTGTGAGGTCGGGTCAGCCAGTCACCCTCATGTTTCCTTAGTGACTTCCCACCTCTCGGCCTTCATGCTATAAATCCCCACTTGCAGGTGCTGTGCTCAGAACTGAGCCCTAATACTGACCACAGTGGTCCCCGATAAAGCTTTCCTTACTGTGCTTTAACAAGTGTCATTAAATGATTTTTCTCTTTCACATCACCCCAATATCTCCAGTCTTAGCCACCAGACTTACTGCCAGTTACCATCAAACCTTCAGGTTTTTGCCAATCTCGTAGGAGAGAGATGTTATCTCAGTGTAGCTCTAGTTTACATTTTCTTCTTCTTCCTTTTTTAATTATTGTACAGCTTAGTCTGATTTTTAGTTTTTATTTTTATTCATTGAGTGCCGAGGATCAAACCCCAGGCTTCACACAGGCTAACGAGCTGCTCTTTCACTAAGCTACATCCCCAGCCCTCATGACTGAGGTTAAAGATCTATCCATGTTTAAAAAGACACCACCTCTTTTCTATCTTCCTCTGTGAACTGTTCCCGACTTTTACTGACTTAAAAGGGAAAATAAAACCAAAACCACAAGTAAGCAGGTTTTTAATAAGAAATGGCACGCTTACACCGTTGGTGGACAACTCTCGGGTGTTATTCATGCTGCTGTTGGCGTGAGAAGGGCTGGGCCTCCTGCAGTCTGTAGTGCAACAGAGAGCATCTGCCAGATGAGGCGCCACTGGGAACGCTTAATGGACCTTTCTACCCCTCTCTGGAGCCATTTACGGAGCGGGAAGAGGGCGGGTTGGCAGTCTCAGTTGTCGTTGTTCTTGTTGTCACCAGGAACTGAAGCGAGGGCCTCTTTCATGACACAACTGCCCTACCAGGGAGACCACCCCAGCCGCTGGCATCTTCAACAGACTCCTGCAAAGCCAGGCTCCCGTGCTTCCTGACTAGAGGTCTGCAGTTGGCGCAGAGCACTTCTGCGTCTTCCTGCCCCACCTCCTCTTCTCTCCTCCTTCAGGGAGGAGCTGGACCACTGGTGCCAGTCTCCAGGTGGAGGAGACCCCACCTCTCTGGTCTGGGTAGGGTCCAGAAGGAGGAAGAAAAGATGAGCTCCTCAGCTTTCCTCCAGACTCTTCAGCGCCTGGTCTTCACTCATGGCCGGTCCCAGGCAGTCATCCGGAAACTAAGCCATGAGGGCCCCTGAGCCAGGGCCAGGCTGGGGCCAGAGGGGACCATGGCACTGTCAGGGGACAGCAAAGCAGTACCATCCACTTTCGAGGGCCACATGTACACAGCCGTGGCTCAGAGGACCCAGCGATTCACTGGTGTCTGATATTTAGAAAATTCTCTACAGCTGGGATGTAGCTCAGCAGCACTGCACCTGCCTCGTAAGCAAAGGTCCTGAGTTCGATCCCTGTACCAAAAACAAAAATTTACTACAGACACAATGATGTCAACAGAAAGACTGGACACCAGAAAAGGTCATTCCTCTCCTAGAAAGAATTAAGTTTGTGAACCAAGGCACCACTGTATACGTATGTATTATATATGTGTATGTGTATATATGTGTGTATGTATATGTACACACACACACAGATGCTGAGTTTGAAACCTCAGGGCCTTGAGCATTCTAAGGAGCCACTGAGCTACAAACAGAGCCCTTGCTGTGCCCTTTCAAACAGACTGACTCATGGATTCTGAAGAACATCTCTACCTTGATGTCAATGTTAGACATGGGATTTATAACATTATTCATACTTCTTAAAAATCAAACCAGAGTGAATGGAACCAAGCAAGGATAAATGTCAAAATAGAAAGCCAGCTCCTTAAAGGAGTAAAAATTTGCCTTAATGGATTAAACCATCCATGGCTATGTCATTTGCCCTTTTAATCCACTTTGACTAAATACATATGTGCCACACAATTATAGGGAAAACACAGAGGTTGTCCAGAGCTAGAATAACTGTCTTCTGGTTGGTCACATAAAATAACTTCTCAGGAAGCTACCTACACCTACATGGTTTTCCATAGAGAGAGAGCATTGCAATGATTCCCATGAACAGCTGCAAAGTCTAAATGGCATACAGCAAAAGCCCACCAGAATGTCACGTACTTTCTAGCTCTTCACATCAAGTGATCTAACCATTATTTCAAAGAAAGGGTAGCAGCCAATCCCAGTGGCTCATCTGAAAAGGCTGCTCAGGTCATGAGTCACCTGCCAAGGTCAGGCAGCCAGCACAGAACACGTGACAGGGCCATGACCACAGGTAAAATTGTGTTGCTTTACCTTGTGTCAGTGAAAGGTAATCAGGAGGCCAGTTTAAGGTAAGACCCTGCCCAGAATGGGCAAGGTGTTATAGACAGCGATCTGCTGAGACTGCAGGGAGTGAGTGAATAAAGGATGCATGCTCTGTCTGTCCTCTGAGGTGTCATCACCCTCTTTCCCAGGAGAAAATGTTTGGAAGACTGTTCTCCACATTTCTGCCCCAGAAAGCTTCTGGAACAACGCCTAGAGGGCTGCTGACTGGCTGCTCTTTGCCTCTTACCAGCCATGCCTACCCAGGCACCAAGAGGCCCCAGCGCTTCTGCATTTCCCCTCTAAGGCAGTCTGAGAGGAGCCTGAGCCCAGCCTTCTGCCTCACCCTGCTCGGTCCCTCAGGGTCTTCCCGCTTCCTCTCAGGCTGGAGCAAAGAGCACGCCTTATTGCTCCAGTATCTTAGTGAAGAACAGGAGCATCCGACCACAGCTCAGGCCAGGATGGATCCCTGCCCTCCTCTCTGCTGTCGAAATGGATCCAGGTGACTCTGCTCCTCCTCAGGAAGTCTTCCCACAAGGCTTTCAGTGCCAGGCAATTCCTGGCCAAGAAACAAAAGCAAAATCATCCCATTTCCCCCAAGGAATTCAGATGAAAACTAGAAATAAAATCAGGTGAGACTCCAAGAGCAAACATTAGAGAAGAGCCCAACTGGGCCTGGGAGGAACTGGGCCTGCAAAGATGAATGTGTTGAGGCCATGCCAAGGTCACTCTCATGTGACCCGATCAAGCTGGAATATCACCACCATCTGCGCTGTGGACACGTTTTGCCAGGAATCTCATTTTTCTTTTCATTTCTGTGCTCTACACCACTAGGTTGGTTCAGTAATACGTAAAACTTTTTGGTTAGGAAATAAGAGATTTGCATCAAAGGGGGTTTACAGTGCTTGTGAAACATTTAAGTGCTGGATCACAGTGAGTGAGACCAGGGAACAAATCAAAATAAAGACCCGTTGGGGATGTAAGCGCCAAATGAAGGCAAGGAAGGAAGCAGTCGTCCAGCAGAGCTGACAGGTCACGATGGTGTTTCTGA